CTCTGAAGGATCTGTTGCCTTATTATTATTTTTCTCTTTAGTATATACTCTGATCTGTATTAAATAAGACAAGACTTTGCAGATAGAACAAAGGGAAAAACAAGGAAACACACAAATATGTCTTTTACTGTGTTGCTTCTTCATTGCATCCCTACGTTGTTTTATTTGGAATTTGTTCAACATGAATCTCTCCACATGAATTTCCATCTTGTATGTATAACTCTGATCTCTATTAAATAAGACAAGACATGTAATTTTCACTTTGCAGGTGGAACAAACACACAAATATGTCTTTTTGCTATATTGCTTCTTCATTGCATCCCTTAGTCGATTTATTTGGAATATCTTTGACATGAATCCCACAACGTGAATTTCCATCTTGTATGTATAACACCTAACCATATCTTCTAGCTTGGTTTGAGTTATTTCTGGTATCTGCTTCATTCTTTATATGTTTCATGCTAAACTTTAATTGACTTTTCCTTGTAAATATATAGGTATATATAATAACTATCTCAAATATGTGTGTGTGTGTGTGTGTGTGTGTGTGTGTGTGTGTGTGTGTGTGTGTGTGTGTGTGTGTGTGTGTGTGTGTGTGTGTGTGTGTGTGTGTGTGTGTGTGTGTGTGTGTGTGTTTGTGTGTGTGTGTTTGTGTGTGTGTGTGTGTGTGTGTGTGTGTGTGTGTGTGTGTGTGTGTGTGTGTGTGTGCTTGTGTGTTGTATGCGTGTGTGTGTGTGCACATAATTCCATAAAATAGTAAGCATAGCTAAATTGAATAGCATGGTTATTAGTTTGATTATGATAACACAGGTAAGGAGGTAATTTCTAAAAGTAGGACTATCTTTCATAGATACTAAATGATAAAACAAAGATAAAAATAAACCCTCTAGTTTATTTGCGGATGCAAATTGCACTAAAATATGTGAAATACGAACTTTCAAAATTAGGGAATAGACAAATCTTCCAAGTCAAAAACCTGAATACTGAATTAAACTTTGTATATCATTTAGTTGTATGGTAAGATGTGGATCCAAGAATGGGACTAGGCAACTATCCTATGAGGTCTTTGTGGATGAAATAGTAACAGATGACATAGTAACATCACATTTAACATTTGTATAAAGAATCATCTTTCATGTGAATATTTTGTTTGCTTTGTATTCAGTGATAAATCTGGCTAACGTAAGTAATGACTATGAAAGGAATTTTCTTTTAAGTCTTATTTTCTATTATCTGCTAGGAACATATTTGTCATGATGTTTCATTACAGTTTCTTGTATTTGAAGATGAAAACAAATACAATTTCTTTTATATATTATATACATACATTGCAATATTTATAAATATCAAAATCATGGTAACTTTAGTGACTTAGTTGGTAATTTCAAAACTGAATAATATTTTGAGTACTGCAAGAATTTTCAATTAATATAAACTTTATATATGTTTAAGTTCTATATATAAAAAGTAGGTCTTGATACAAAGACTACAGGTTACAATCTTATTTACAAATTTATTATTTCTATATCCTATACAAAAGAGCTTTTCTTCTCTTTGATATATACATGAAATCAACTGACCAAACCCTTACTGAACAATAATGTTAACAAATCAATTGTATTCAAGAACTCACTTCATTTGCAACCACTGGTGCTAAATCACAAAGACAATTTCAAATCTAAATAATAAACATTCACTAGGTATATACAGACTGATGATTTGGAATAAATAAGCCTGATTCTCCATAATGGTACTCTTAGCAACATGTTTTTTCATGTAATAGGTATGAATCTTTCTGCAGTGATAAACAAGAAAATTATATCAAAACAATTATAAGTACATAACTAAATGTGAATAAAAAAATATAGAGTGAAAAAAGAGATCATAATATCTTATGCTACAGCTGTTTCTGCTACTTTCTGCTCTTTCTCCTCTACTACAGCTACTTCTGTTTCCTCCGGGGTTTGTTCTTCTGCCTTGTATGTCTTATAGCTTGGCTGCCGAGGAGGCATCCAATCAGGAATAATCTTGTCATGGATTCTCCAGACACCGTAGGTGTTGGCCACGTGTTTCTCAAAGACAACATACTCTAAAACATCCTTTGCAACAACCTCCGAACCATGCTGCAGGCGGCCAAATCGATCATATACAGCCAACGTCTGGAACAAAATTTTAAAATTAAGGAAAAAATTAAGTGAATTACACTTGATGAAATTAAAAAGTAGATAGAGAGTAATTTCATGTTATATAAAAATATATCAGTAGAGCTGATTCTATCTTATTGCGAGTAAGGAATATAACAAATAAAGAACTCTTGTTTCCCTATCATTAAGATCGACAAAAAAGCCAGAATGGACCAAAATTCACCTGAGTTAAACATACTGTAATATGTCCAAACAAGGCTGTTTTAGACCAAATGAATCAAGTCATTAATAAACTGGAGTTTGAAAAGTGAAAAGAGGTGGATAACAAGTGACAACTGAGAAACAAACACACAAGAAGTCTAAAAGTACCAATGCTAGTGCTTCATCCACTTACCTGTTTTGTATGGAAACGAACTGTCACTTGTGCAAATATGTTTTCTTTGCTTATAACATCAGTGCACCGTGCATGGACAACACGCGGTGGTTCTAAAGATGAAACAAACTGCCATCTCAGCGTCTTGTTACGAACTTGGTTTGTTACCATTGGGAAGGCTCGTTCTGTCACCATTTGATGTAGCTTCACCTTATCAAAACTGTCAAAAGGGAATGAAGCTTTACAAGTAATACAATGGAAGAAAATATTTTAGAAAACAAATATGTTTATTTCTATTTCCATTTTCATTACTTATATGTGTCATACTTACTCTGCCAAAGCTTTGTGCATGTCAACATATATCTGCTGTGCTTCCTCTGCAAATACTTTTGGATCAAAATCTTCATCAAACTGCCGGATCTTCCTGATTGCCATCATGGATTTACCTTTTTTCTCCAGAAATTCAAATTTCTGTTTAGCGCCCTGTATATAAACAAACAGAATATATATTTTTTTACATCTTACAAATACAGCATATAAAAACATTTAAGTCAATGCATCATATTCTTATTCTACAATCCGAAGGTGAACTTACAGCAGCTAACGTGGCAGACACTTTTCCATCTCCTTCAGGAGGTACATATGCCTCAAAAGTTCCGCTGGTGGCTGAAATAAACACAGGCTTTTCCATCCACGGCCGGACAGGCTGGACACCCTTCTCTTTCATCTACAAAAGGTATATAATAGATAATATCAGTTAACAGTTTAATCTCCTTTAAGCATTAAAGTAAAAAACTTTTTTGTTTAAAAAAAAGCCAACTAGAAAACTAAAAATCATTGTTCAAAAATTGTCCCTCTCTCTCTCTCCCTCCCTCCCTCCCTTCCTCCGTCCCTCTCTCTCTCTCTCCCTCTTCCCACTCTCTCCTTCCTCCCTCCTTTCCTCCTTCCCTCTCTCTCACTTCCTCTCTCTCTTCCTCCTTCTCTCTCCCCCTCCCTTCCTCCCTTTCTCTCTCTCCACCTTTCTATTTCTTTCTCTCCTCCCTCTCTCCCTTTCTATTTCTTCTCTCTCCCCCCTTCCACCCTCCCCTCCTTTCTATTCCTCTCTCTCCCTCCCTCCCTTTCTATCCTCCCTTTCTCCTTCCCTCCCTCCCTTTCTCACTTTCTATTCCTTTCTCTCTCCCTCCCTCCCTCCTCCCTTACTGTTCCCTTCTCTCTCCCCCCCCTCCCCTTCCCTTCTCTCTCTTCCACCTTTCTATTCCTTCTCTCCCCCCTCCCCCTCCCTCCCTCCCTCCCTTTCTATTCCTTCTCTCTCCCCCCCCTCCCCTCCTTCCTCCCTTTTCTCTCTATCCACCTTTCTATTCCTTTTCTCTCCCTCCTCCTCTCCCTCTTCTATTCCTTCTCTCTCCCCCTCCTCCTTTCTTTCCCTCTCTCCCTCCCTCCCTTTCTATTCCTTTCTCTCTCTCCCCCTCCCCCCTCCCCTTCCCTTTCTACCTTCTCTCTCCCTCCTCCCTTTCTATTCCTTCTCTCTCCTCCTCCTTTCTATTCCTTCTCTCTCCCTCCCTCCCTTTCTATTCCTTCTCTCTCCCTCCCTCCCTTTCTTTCTCTTCCTCCCTCCCTCCCTCCCTCCCTTTCTATTCTTTCTCTCTCCCTCCCTTTCTATTCCTTCTCTCTCCCTCCCTCCCTTTCTTTCTTCTCTCTTCCCTCTCCTTTCTCCCTCTTCCTCCCTCCTTTCTATTCCTTCTCTCTCCCTCCCTCCCTTCTATTCTTCTCTCTCCCTCCCTCCCTTTCTATTCCTTCTCTCTCCTCCCTCCTTTCTATTCCTCTCTCCCTCCCTTTCTCTTTCTCTCTCCCTCCCTCCTTTCTATTCCTTCTCTCTCCCTCCCTCCCTCCCTCCCTTCTTCTCCCCTCCCCCCTCCATCCTCCTATCTCTCTCTCCACTTTTCTATTCCTTTTCCTCTCCTCCCTCTTTCCATTTATATTCCTTCTCTCTCCCCCCTCTCCCTCCCTCCTTTCTATTCCTTCTCTCGTCCTCCCCTCTCCCTCTCTCCCTCCCTCCCTTTCTAATTCCTTCTCTCTCCCCCCTCCCCCCTCCTTCCTCCCTTTCTCTCTCTCCCCTTTCTATTCCTTCTCTCTCCCTCCCTCCCTCCCTTTCTATTCCTTCTCTTCCCTCCCCCCTCCCCTCTCCTCCTCCCTCCCTTCCCTTCTCTCTCCCTCCCTCCCTCCCTTTCTATTCCTTCTCTCCTCCTCCCTCCTCCCTTTCTATTCCTTCTCTCTCCCCCCTCCCCTTCCTTCATCCCTTTCTCTCTCTCCACCTTTCTATTCCTCTCTCTCTCCCTCCCTCTTCCTTTCTATTTCTTCTCCTCTCCCTCTCCTCCCTCCCTCCCTTTCTATTTCTTCTCTCTCCCTCCCTCCCTTTCTATTCCTTCTCTCTCTCTCCTTCCCTCCTCCCTTTCTATTACTTCTCTCTCCCTCCTCCTTTCTAT